ACAATAAACTGTTCCACGCAATAGACGTGGCACCACGGTGGGCACCACAAGTGGACGCCCTGAACGCCCAACAGCGAACAGTGTTTGACCGCATCATGGTGGCTGTCGATGACGACCGGGACGTGGCAAAAGCATTCTATGTCGATGGACCCGGAGGCACCGGAAAGACAACGCTTTACGGTTGCCTAAAATGGGCACTTCAAAACCAACGACCGCCACGGGAGGTATTGTGCGTGGCATTCACGGGGATCGCCTCGTCCCTCATGGACGGCGGCATGACAGTGCACTCGACGTTTGGATTGCCGTTTGGTACGCTGACCGACGACGATACATCAAACATCTCCTTGCAATCCATGCGCTCACAGAGGATACGTGATGCGGCGCTCATTGTCTGGAACGAATCGCCAATGTTTTTAGTTTTCTCTTCAATAATGATATATTTTTTTTTGAGACTTACTAACCTGAGACTTCAGACATATCACTTACATACAACATTTTTATGTTGTACCGTCATGGATCCATGTGATCCACCGGGCGTAATTGGCCATTGAAGTACCCTAATCCTTAGGGATCCGTATATCTGGGTACTTCATGGACAGTTGAGTGATTGACTGTTCACTGTGGAGAGAAAGTTCGACAACCTCCACGTGGTTCTCTCTGGATGCGAATCTGCTGCTAAGACATATGCAACTATACATTTTTGTTTACTTAGAATAGTCTATTATATAACTTGGGTCTCTAGTTTTTTCTATTATTTCTTCTAAATTTTTACATTCTCCTTTACACTGATCATTTATAAAAAGTTTAAGATTTCTTGTTATTTTATTTAGAGTTTTATGATTATAACGGTTATTTAATCTTTTGTTCGCTTTCAATATATGCCAATTTAAACATACTGACTGCATCTTATTTTCTTTAAAGTTATAAATATGTACTTCCGTTTTTATTATGTTTTTTAATTCCTCAATGAATCTAAATTAATGTAACATGTGTTAAATTATGTATTTACCTTCACCATAAATATATATATAATTTATTTTTCTAGACTTATTTATATAAATATATGGGTCTTATTTTTGAAACCACACAATTAAATAGACATTTTGTTAAGATTACGTCGGCAATTGGATCATGACAATGCGTAATTTTATTATTAGTATCACACATTAAATCATGCACTTCTGATAATACTAACATTCTACCGTTTTTATTTATTTTTCCTAAATACCCTGAATATAAAACTTCTTTAGTTTCTAAATTTGTTAATTCTAAATGAAATTCATCATTATTCCTAGTACTATATGCTGATATATTTAAAAATGCTAAAATACCCTTTTATCTTAACCGTTTAATAATTGTTATATCCGTCGATCCATTCCAGAATACTATTATTGGATCCCTATTGTCTATGTGCAAATATCTTTGCAAGTAAACCGTTGACAAGGTAGATTCCTCCTGGTGGCTTACACTTTTGTATAATTGCACAGAATAACCAGAAGAATCACTTAATGAGAACTCGAAAATCAGTGAAAAATTTTTGAGATAACAGTGTAGCCAGAATTCGAAAATAATTAAAAATTCTCTTTCGCTGCTGAAACTGTTTTTACACATTTTTTGATGTTATCATGTGTAAACATTTTATTTTTCAGTGATAATTCAATAATTGATCGATCTTGAAATCTTGCATTGTGCGTACATAACTTTTGTTCTGTGAAAACCTGAATTTTGAATTTGAAATTTAAGATCTTTTTATTGTAATAATTGTTTACTACTGTGTATTTTGGTGACCATTCATGCTGTTTGGCGAATTGCACTAGTATTGTTTTTGGAAAAAAACAAATTATAACAAAGTTTCATCGATTTCCTAAAGATCAGACAAGGTAAGAAATACCAAAAGTGTTCACACCTATTTCTTGTAACTAAATTATACTTAGTTATTAATAATTATATATTGTATATGTTAATAAGCAATGTATAATGTCTATAAAATACATTTATGTTTATTTTCTATCATGCACTACAAATAATTGTATTAGTATCTACTAATAGTTTTAATTACCTATTATAGATGTGCTGTCTGGATTGAACGTTGTAAACCAATCAATTTACCGACTATTGACCCTGTTATTCTGAATAGAAATCACAGATTGTGTTCACTTCATTTTGAAGATGAAATGTACTTGGATGTTGAAAAAACTAGACTGAAGAATAATGCAATACCAACAATATTTAAAAGTATGTTTAAGGGATCAATAAACTTTAATTTGTATTGTATAACAATATTTTGTTCTTTTAGATAATAGAATCGTTACAGAAGAAACATTACATCATGTTGATGTTGCATCTGAATCTTTTGATGATAACACACAAACTGAAAAACACGTTATAATTGACAATCCACCAAGATGTTCAACTCCTGGTATGTTGATTACAAATAGATTTGATTTTTCTATACGACAACTTTTAATTATTTTAATCCATTAAAATTTTATTTGTAGTGTCGTGTACTTATGATTCACCATCGTTTTCAAGTTGTACATCATTAGACACGTGTTCCCTTAGTATTCAAACTCCAAACTCATTAACTTCCAAAACCCCAAGGAAACGAGTACTTCAACAAAAACTATCAAAGGCTCTGTGTACAATTAAAGAACTAGAACAACAACTACAGCAGACTACAACCATTGAACACTGTATGAAAATGTGTGAACAATATTTATCACCTTCAGTCTACCTTCTAGTTAAGAATAATATTGTAAACAAAGATAGGTTAAATAGTGGACACCGATATTCTAAACAAATTAAACAATTTGCTTTAACTGTATATTTTCTTAGTCCTATGGTATTTCATTTTCTTCAGAAATCTTTTTCGCTTCCTTCTATTTGCACTTTAAGAAGAGTAACTTCTCAATATGATTTAAAACCAGGCTTAAATGATTTCTTATTTAACTTTTTAGAATTTAAAATGAGTAGTTTTCATCCTGATGCTTTGGACTGCTTTTTATGTGCAGATGAAATGTCAATAAAACAAAACTTATTTTATAATGTTTCAAAATATGAGATATTTGGTTTTAACCAATCAAATTCTTTTAGGACATAATATTATGAACATTTGCCCTCCATATGTGCCTTCTGAAACAGTGTAATGTCACTGTTTCCTTATAATAAATTTGTGTGTGGTGTGCTGTTATTAGTTCTGTCTCTGAAAGAACTCCCTTGTCTGTAGTGTTTTTTGAACTGTACGAGAAGTAGGTGATGAGTTCCTATTCATTTTATATTTCTTATTTATATGGGTATGTTTTAATATTTCGCACTAACAGTACAATAAGGCCATAACTCAAAAAAATGAAATGTTCAGGAAATGAATATGAAAGTTTAGAAGAACATGACAATTTTTCATCAAACAAAAAAAAATGTTTAGGGTAGATACATATTTACAATTTTGTTGTGATTATAATTATGTAGTTTTTATCCCTGTAAATATTTTTACATCCGTACGATTTCCACTTGAAAGAACAAAAATTAAAATTTTTCTGGTTACGGCTATATTGCACTACTTTTTAAATTGATTTTAATATTATTTTGGCCATAAACGAAATTTACGATTTTTTAAAAATTATGTTATAATTGATACTGTCATTAAGTATGTTCATATTGTATTGAACCAAAAAACACTTAAACTGCAAAATAAAATAATAGGGTAATATATTTAATTATAAAATGAACATAAAATATTAAAAAACAAAATAAAATATCATGACTACTCTTCAGTCTTCTTTGTTATCTTAATTTTAACAATGTTTACAATTAATATAAAATAATAACAAAAAATGTAATGACTATTAATTTATTCATCATCAGAATCTGTTCTCTGACAGACATTGATGTTCTCATAAAATTGTTTATGACAGTTGGGTATCACATTTGCACCACACAGCTGCATCAAATTTTTCTTTTTGACATCTGTTATACCCGGTGGTCTGGAATAGGCTTCATTCAATATTAAGTCTTCATTAATTTTTGGTTTCGATCTCCGTCCTCTGCTTAGTTTTTGTGTTACATCAATGGTTTTAAAATTTTCTTCAGACCGATTATTTTTATAAAAGAATTTAAATGGAGAATCCTTACGTACTTAAATTACTTTAATATTTCCCCATAAAACTTTTTCTTTATCAGTGTTGATATTAAAATTAGTTCCAATTTGAGTGCTCAACTTTTTAAAATCCAACATATCTGTTGTTGTCATCTGGTTTACAATGTATGGAACTCCTTTTCTGGCCAAACTAATTACAGGAATCCATTGATCCGGAATATAAATAGGTCCACTTTTAAGTACTCTTTTTTTCTGTTTTTCTATGCATGCGTGCATGGCATCCCCTTCATTTTGTGAATGGCCACACACTAAAAACTTATTTGTAATTGAAGGGATCTCAAGTCTCATAGTTGCATACATGTAAAGACTAATGATAAATTTATTTTTATTCTGACCAACACAATTATCAGAATAAAAAATAATTGGTAAATTCATTGAACTATTAATACTGTCATTTAGATATTTCCATAAACAGGATGCAATTTCATTTGCACCTCGTTTAGCCTTATCTTCACTCCAGACATAACAATATCCATTTCTAGAAGAAGTTTCATAAACAGTAAAATTATAAACGCCTAATTTACGTTTATAGTATAACATATTCACCTCTCCACATGGTGTTTGTAGAACTGCCTGTAAATCATAACAGCAAACTTGTACCATCCCTTCTTTAGCTTTTGCTAAATCTTTTTCTTTTTCTGCTCTGCATTTTATTTTGGCCTCCATGTGAGCATCATAATTTGTTTTGTTTATTTCTTTTTCCATATCACTGCAGTTTTTCCATGCTTCACATGTAGAACACTGGTCCTTTTTTGGTTGAAAGAAAACAATATTTCTCTGTTTATTAAACAAGTCTAAGTATGTATGTTTAAGTACACATTCCTTTTTTGTTTTCTTCTTGACTAATGACATACAATCTGTACATTTCAGCAATAGTTAAGCTGCCATCAATATACTCCCTTTGCGTTTGAGCTCTTAAAAAATGAGAACTTATACTAGGAAATGAATCAATATGATCCAACACATCTTTTTTCATTTCTTCTGAAATTCGTTTATGGTTGTCATGTTTTCCCTGATTTAATGGTTCCAATATTCCTGCAGTATTCAACCTATTAAAGCAGTTTCTTATAATTTTGTCACTTATGACTAAGGTTGATTCAAACATTTTCTTACATACTCTAATTTTTCCAACTTCTTTTTCTTCTAAAAAATAAGCCATATTGCTAAGTTTTCTATTAGAATTTGGTGTTTTCATTTTATATTTAAGTAAAACTGGAACTACATGTCTTTCAATAAACTCGCGTTGTCTTACTTTGTCACCCATTTCCCAAAACTTTGCTTTAATTTTATTTCTTATTTCTAAATTTAATAAAAAACTACACTTATAACTACAATTTTCACAAGAAGGTTTTAATGACTAGGCTTTGACAATGAACCCGGATGCATTTATATATTATTCACCACGGTTTTTTGCTAGTTTTTCCATATTTTTCTTCCATTTCTCAGGGTTTTTTAAACGTTTTCTTTTAGGCAGTAAAATATGAGGATCTTCAGTTTCAATCTCAGCTTCCTCTTCAAAGGATATTTGATTGATGTGTTCCACAACTACATTTTCATTTTGAATTTGATTTTCTTGTTCTATATCAGTGTTTCCCAACCTTTTTACCACCACGGACCACTTTGACAATATTTTAGGTCGCGGACCACATCAATTTTACGCAAACTAGGAAGACCTTTTTTTTTTTTTTTTGCTCATTAACAAGAATACACAAAAATGTATTGGAAAATTTTTATTATCTTACTGTACTATTATATATAATTATTAAACTTTACTAATAATTTACTTAGTGTGATTTTTGTATACGATAAGATAACCGTATTTTACGGTAAAATAAAATATTTTTCGCTGTTTAAAAAAAAAAATAATTTTTAATAGAAAACTAAGAAAAGTACCGCGGACCACCTATGACTGGCCCACGGACCACCGGTTGGGAAACACTGTTCTATATTATCATACTCAAAATATTGATTAGGATTTATAGATCCGATCTCAACATATTCATATTAAGCTTGATCGGTTTGTTCCATAACAAAGTTTTCTACTATCGTATCAGATTCAATTTGACATGGCTGTGTTACAATATTTTGAACAGATTCAAAAATTGAATTAGTTGGTTCAAATTCAATATCATAATCAAAACAGTTAAAAGTATCACCCTACAAAGTAAAATAATTCAATATGACGTTAGTAATTAAAAAATACTATTTAGAAAACAAAATACGTTTTCAGTTAAAATAATATTAAATACTGTTATACATTGATTATGTATGTACTTACATTGATTTCCAAAAGTAATCTATCAATATGATTTTGGTATGTGGTCGAGTATTGATCATTATGGACAGTATAATAATAATCATTATTATTGTTATTAATTGTAGCAATCTAAAAAAAATATTTTAGAAGGTTATATATAAGTATTTATTTATTAATATAAACTAAAAACTATGATGTACTTACCTCTATATTAGCCTGACTGATATTGTTTTCAATAGATGGTTTTAAATTACACAAACTTAAAAGTTTATTAACCCTACCACGAGAAGTCATATTACTTATTAAATTAATACAAAATTAATAATTATACACAATGTAAATACTATAAATTATGAGTTAAGACTAGAGTAAGAATAAAATAATATTTTATATTACATTATTATAATTGTTATCAATGTTATTATCTCAATATGTGGCGTAATTGCTCTGGAAGTTTAATTGTTTTAAATTGCAAAAGCGCCATTTTCAAATACGGCCTTATTGTTCTGGCTTTAAAAACTTGTTTTAGTGAACGAGCCACATTTCGTTTTACGGGCAAATTGTACTCAGAAATTTAACATTATACGCTCAATGCAATAAAGGTTATCGTCAAATATTATCAGTACTAATATAAAGAGGTAGATAAAGCTACTATCAAAAAAAGAGAAAAAAATTACGAATTCATAGACACCAAAAACACAAAAATCATAAATTTTGAGTTGTGGCCTTATTGTGTTGACAGTGCGAATTTTGTTCCTTTTTTTTAGGTCCTGAAATAATTAAAGTGACCTGTTATATAATTGTTACATTGTGATTATTTGTGAGTATTATTTCTATTATGCATGAATAGTTTTTATTTTATTGCTTTACATTTATTTTTTTTTTTCTTACTATTTCCTGAACACAACGTTATTATTATATATCTAAAATTTACATTATATATTAATTCTATTATTAATTTTCCTTATTGTATATATTATGTTACGTATTTTTTTTATTTTATATGTTTATTTATTATTACTAAATTTAATCATTTAATAAGGTAAATAATTCGTTATGACTAGCGATTACTCTTAATATATTTTATTCTTATCTTGGCGATGGTGGTGCGGTGAATAATGTCTCTCTTATGTAATCGTTTGTGCCTGGTGTTCTATATCTAACTATTCTTCCTGGAATATCTCTTATCTGTCCATTACTAATATATTTGCATTTAATTAATATATATATTGCTATTATAAGTATGAGAGACAACGATGCTAGTAATATTGTTACATATAATAAATAACTGTGTATAAATTGATGTTTTTGATTTTGTTCTCTTGAAAGTTCTTGGTCAATCATTTGTTGTACCTCATCTAAAGATTTGGATGCGTCATGTAAATCTGTGAATTGCACAGTTGGTTTTCTTTCCCATTTTTCATCTGCTTCAAATCTGTGTATATGTTCAGGTATTTTCTCCAAAACATATTTCATGTTAGTTACAGGTGTGAAGTCTTTAAATTTATTATTTAGAATTTCTTCCGTGGCAGTTAATACTGCGTCCCGTCCAAATACTTGGAAACTGATGTCTTTTATAGTTATTTCTCCTGATTCATTTGTTTTTGTTATGAATGGATCTATTAGATTGGTGCAACTTATTGTTAGTGTCTCTTTTCCTGCATGAATCCATGTATTCTTATTTTGCAATTTTTGATATATGCTTCTCTTTAAATTAATTTTCTTTACTGTACATATCTCAGGATTAGAATTTTTGTCAGTTTTTATTAAGTTTTGCACTTCGCATGGTTGGCGTTCGTTGTTGTCCTGTATAGGTTGTGGTGTTTTACATATTCTGTACATTGTAGTTTCTTTACATTCGTTTAATTGTTGATCTGTGTACGTAGTAAACCTTTTTTATCTTTGGTTGTAGCAATATTATTTTAAGTAATGTCCATCAGGTACCATCCACTAGAATTATCTTGGTTATGACGCATTGGTATTGGTGTTAACCTATATAATATAAGTTCAGTGTAAAAAATCAATGGTATTACTATATCAAATACTAATTGGTTGTCTGAATAGTAGATTCTTATTTTTGTAATTTTTTGAAATTCATTTAGTTCCCATCTCCTTGTTCCCATCGGAATACTATATTTTTTCTTTATAGTTTGTTCTATTGTTTTTAATGTTGATGCTAGCTCTTGCGGTGTCATAAGACTTGGATGTATCATACCTTCTCTATCGGCAGTTACTATTTGTCCTAATGTTTCTGTTTCGTAGGAATATTGATTTATAATTATTGTATATAAATTATGTATTTCATTTTTCATTAGTAAATCTATTATATCGTTTGATTTGTTCTGTATTTTTGACATTTTTTCATATAGTTATTGCTCCCTTTTCGTAATATTATTGTATAGTTGTTCGGTTTGATTTAATGTATTACCAATATTTCTTATTGATGATTTTACTACAGTCGTTTGAGTTTCCATTATGTGCAATATGTTAGTTCCTGAGTCTTCTGTTTTTTTTATAGCTTCTTTAGTTTTTTTAGTGCATTTATCATTACACACGCCAAATAATGTATGCATGGTGTTACCTATTATGTTTATTAATCCTCTTTTCTTTCTTCGTTTCTCTTCCTGTATAGTACTTCCTAGTGACATATACATACGTTCTTTCTATTTAGTTATTTCATTATATAAATCTGTAATTACTACTTGATATTTTCCACATAGATCTTGGTGTTTCTGGTCAGTACATATATTTGTTGTATTCTTTATTTTTTCCCCCAATAATTCATATTTCATGTTATATTCTTTTAATGAGAAAAACGTTACAAGACTGTATTGAGCCCCTATTAATCTAACTGGTCCCAAATTCTCATATTGTATTCCCCTGCCACTTCCATAAGGCTTATATGAAAAGTACTCTGATGTATTTATTTCGTCAGATTCGACAGTATTGACTAGAAAACACGTCACCATCACCAATCTAAAAGTATAAATTATATTCATACTAAACTAAACTATCTTATTATATTCTTATATAATTAAAACCATTATATATTATCATACGTTTTTTTCTTTTTAATAGATTTGTTATAAATGGACCCAACAAAAATTTACGACTATAAAACAAAAGAGGAAAACTGTCGAAAATATGTTCTTCGTAATTGTGTGTATTTTATGAATAACTATAATGCATACACATTTTTTTTTTTTGTTATTATATGATATTTTTATTATATATATTTTTTAGTGCGACATTACATTAGAAGTGGAATGGCCAAAAGGGTTCACTCCTCCTCCTGACGACGTAGTTCGGGCTGCCTTAATGAGCGACGGTCAGGAAGACGGCTCCGTATCTGATACTGATTCTGAATAATTTAGAATGTGTGGAAATCGTCGAAGACCGGTTATTGGGTTATTTGATCCCAACGTCGTTGATTTTATTATTTATATTATTATTTTTTTTTTTTTTTTAATACACCGATTTATTAATTATTTACTGAGAATAAGTTTTTGTAATACAGTAGGTCTTCTGGTTCCGGAATATTGTCGATAAACTCAATTAAGTCCTGACAGTTAATTTTTCCCAAATCTTCCAGATTATTTTCTGTCATATCATGCAGAAACCTTTTTATGTTGTGGGTAATCTCATTTAATTCTGCTTCGGTGTACGGTTCGATTAATTCATTATTTGCTTTAGTTATGTGCCCTATAAAACATTTTAAAAATTGTCCTATGCCTATATTGGTTGTATCGTAGTTTCCATTTATTATTTCTTTTTCCAGTTTCAAAATGAATGTCCCGTTTCTATTCCTAAAATTAATATAATTATTCTAACTTAAATATCAATATAATTTTATAATATTATTTTCCTTAATTAACTTGCGCGTCATTATAATATTTTTTTACGTTATTTCTATGCACAGTGATGCCTCGTCGGCCCCGCTGTATAACTACATTTTCGTTTCCTAGTACTACTGTGACCTCGTATGGTCCTAGCCAGATTGGATCGAG